GAGACAACGGGTCAGTGATAAATTATCAGTTTAATCTACCTCAAAGAGGTAATTAAACAGCTGGCTGTGAGTAAAGCGAACTCAAGATCCCTGGAGGAAGAATGATGGATTTGAAAAAAAAAAATGGTGTCAGCTGCAAAGACACTTTGACTGAATGATGGCATATTTTAAAATACACATTATTTAAAAACATACCTTAATTCATTTTGAAAGAAGCATTGGTTTCTTCTCCTTTGTAAGATAGCAGGGAATTCCTCTCATGAGAGCAAGCATTGAGGCATTTTATTTAAAACTACAACTCTCCGAGTTGCAGTATAGGGCTTTGTGTCCATACTTTTAGAACTACAATAATCTTGGAAAGACTCTGGGATTTGTAGTGCCAGCGTAATGTTTCCAATTGGAATGCTACAGTATTCACATATTTTATCTGTAAGCAAATGATGTTTACATCTGCCCCCTCCCCACTTTTTTTGGGTCAGCCATGTCCCTTCTTTCTCTCAACTCCTCTAGTTTTAATGCAGGCAATGACAGCACAACATAAATGAGGTTATCCCATTTTACCATCTGCAAGTTCCAAGGATAAATTAGATCAGTTGCCTTCTTGATCTGAGAAATAATAATATGCATAACGTTGTATTTTCCTACTCAGCTATTGTTTGAACCTAGCTCCTAGTGCAGTATTTTTGACATTATGGAGAAGTCAAGTATGCCCTTGGAAATGTTAATGGATTAGAACTTCTACCAGACCTAGCCAAACACAGGGAAATATGGTGGTTGCAATCCAATATCTGAAGGGCTACAGTTGACCCTGGTTTATCTGATGGGTTAGTGGGAGGCCACCAACAAATACTATGTGCTGTAGGTTACAGTTCAGAGGAAGATGCTAGGAAAACTAACATTGGAGTATTTCTTACCTAAGAAACCCCTATAGCAGTGGTTCTCACCTGTGGGTCCCCAGATGTTTTGACCTTCAGCTCCCAGAAATCCTAACAGCTGGTAAACTGGCTGGGATTTCTGGGAGTTTTAGACAAGTTGAGAACCACTGCCTATAGAATCAGTGAGTCCGCCATAAGTCAGAGGTGACTGAAAACCATTATCTAACTTCAATTTGTTAGAAAATATTTAGTGCCCTCTGGTGGCTAGCTTCTTATAAACTATTCATCCCATCTGAAGTCTAAGAAACGCTGACATATCTACTTACGTCCTCCTTCCAGCTGTATGAGCAGCAACCATGGCTATCCAGATGTTTGGGGCAAATTTCCAATTGGGAAGCACTATCAGAACTGCTATCCAAAATTATCTGGAGGACCACCATTGCCCATCTTGATTCAGTTCAGAAACAATAGGGCATATATAATATACAGTAATCTCACTTATCCACCCTTTGCTCATCCAACGTTCTTTATTATCCAACGCAGTCTGCCTCCTGCCCAGATCCACAGCTGTTTCTCTAGGCAGTCAATGTTTTCAATACATTGAGATATTTTGATGCTAAATTCGTAAATAGTCATTTCTACATAACTTTACTGTGTATTGAACTGCTTTTTCTGTTGATTTGTTATAAAACATGATGTTTTGGTGCTTTATTTGTAAAATCATAACATAATTAGACATTTAATAGACTTTTCCCTAATCCATCATTATCCAATATTTTTGCTTTATCCAATGTTCTGCCGGCCCGTTTATGTTGAGTAAGTGAGACTCTACTGTAATGTAAATCAAAATGATAAGTCTTCCTTGTCATGTCACATATAAGCATTGGACGTTCCTAAAACTCATGGCTTCCAGTTCGTCTCCCCCAATTCCCTGATGAATCTCTAGGTGGGAGCCATGCCTTGAAAATTACATCTCTGCATTCTTGGCCTTCTGTTGCTGCAAGATGCTTTGTAATAGTAGTAAAGTCTCCAAAGCTATGTGGAAAACTTCAACTCCCATGTCCTTTCTTAAAAGTTCAAGAAACTGGTGGTATGAGATGCAGGATTTCAAACCTGCAATTTCTTAAAGCAATGTTGGGCATTACACACCAGCCAGTTATTCGATTCCTATTTACAAAACCACAACTCCCAAGTTCCTGAAGAATGATGGAGCCATGACAATTCAATCAGGAGGCATGCTTTTTAATGCTGCCTACTTCAAACAAATGCCTTCTGATTTTCATCTAGGGAATTTCACTCCTGGAAGTGTCTTGAGGCCTTAAGGGAGTGATCAGTGTTCTAACAGCCCCCATTGCCTCCTCAAGTTGTTATCTAGTAATGTATAATTTAGTGGAAGAGAACTGGGACTCACAGGATACGTCATGAATAGGACATCCATTTTAGAGTGGATGTGATGACAAGTAATGATGGAGAGATATTTCAAGGGGGTTTAGCCAGTTCCTTGTCCCAAATCAACTCAACAAGCCTGGGATCTAAAAATCCGGGACATTTGGATCCCATTCTTTTTCTGCATAATTCAGGGATGAGCAGAATCCTCTAGATGTTGTTTGCAAGTCACAACACTGCTCATCATTTGCAGTTCACCAACACTGTGAGACTGCAATACATGCAATCTTGCCTGGCTTCTTCTATTATTTATACCTTGTTTTTTTTCTCTCCAAAAGATTCAAAGCAGCTTACAGTAAAACTGATACAATAAAATTTAAGTCCCAAAACACATATAAACATTAAAACAGAATATTAACAATATTAAAATAAAGTTAAACCCCTTAAAAACAGATTAAAAGCCTATTTATAGCTAAAACCACAGCACCCCCTAACTTGATATTAAAAACCTCCTTTGAAAGCCAGGCTAAATAAAAAGTTTTAGCTTGTCACCGAAGGAGAGGGCTATTCTGGTTTCCTTGGGCAGAGTTCCAGAGTCGAGGTTTGAGCTGCAATGGAGGCAGAACCGAGAGAAGGGGTCCTGAAGATCTCAGGACCCACATATGAGATGTGGTCAGCGAAATAGCCGAGATCTGAGCTATACAGAACTTTAAAGGTCATAACCAGTACTCTGCATTGTGCCCGGAAGCAAACTGGCCGCCAGTGAAGCTGCTGCAACAAGGATGCTGTCCATTCCCTGTAGCCAGTCCATCAGCAACCTGGCTGCAGCTCTTTGGACCAACTGAAGTTTTTGAGCACTGTTCAGAGGCAGCCCCACAGAAAGCATATTACAGTAATCCAGATGGGATGTAACTAAAGCATGTACCACCATGGCCAGATCTGGCTTCTCAAGGAATGGGCACAGTTGGCACACACGTTTTAATTGTTCGAAGATTCTCCTGGCCACCACAGATACCTGGGCCTCAAGGTTCTATGCCGATTCCATGAGGACCCCCAAACTACAGACCTGTGTCTTCAGCAGAAGTGTGATTCCATCCAACACAGGCTGAATCCCCATTTCACTACTGGAAGTGTCTGGTTAAATCTCGTATAGACTACTGCAACACATTCTATATGGGGTTGCCTTTGAAGACTGTCCGGAAGCTTCAAATGGTCCAAAGAACAACAACCAGATTGCTAACAGAAGCAGCACTCAGGGAGCGTACAACTCCTCTGTACAATCAGCTCCATTGGCTGCCAGCTTGCTACCGGGTACAATTCAAAGTGCTGCCTTTAGCCTATAAAGCTCTAAACGGTTCTGGCCCAACTTACATGTCCGAACGCATCTCCCCTTATGAACCATCTGGGAGCTTAAGATCATCTGTGGAGGCCCTACTCTCATTACTGCCTTTGTCACAACTACATTTGGTGAAGATGAGAGACAGAGCCTTCTCGGCGGTGGCCCCTCAGCTGTGGAATGCCCTCCCTATAGATATTAGATCGGCCATCTCCCTTTTAACATTCCAGAAAAAAGTCAAGATGTGTGTTTTTTTGAACAAGCGTTTCCAAATGCAGAGTAACTGGCATAGGAAAATGGAACTATGACAATGAGAGCGGACGTTTTTGACAAGGCGACACTATGAATTTATATTTTATTGATAGGTTTAATTTTTATTATATGTTATGTTTTTAATCGTATTTATGGTATTGGAAGCATTGAGTTTTACCGTTAACCGCCTTGAGTCGCCTACGGTCAGAGAAAGGCAGTATACAAATACAGTAAATTAATAAATAAATATTCCCTGATCTGCCTTCTGACTGACTAGTAGTACCTCTGTCTTATCTGGATTTTCAGTTTGTTTGCCCTCATCCAGTCCATTACTGATGGCAGACACTAGTTTAGAGTCAGGATAGCTTCCTTAGCTTTAGGTGGAAAGAGTAATAGTTGGGTGTTATCTGCATATAGATGGCACCGCACTCCAAAACTTAGGATAACCTGTTAATTAAGCAAATGTAACACTCTCTAGAGAAGTAGCCTGTGTTGGCCTTTGAGGGAATGATAGGGAAATGTGTGGCCCTCCAAATACCATTGGACTGAAACTTCCATCATGATTTACAATTGACTGTACTGATGGAAGGAACCACCCACCATGAGCCAGCATGGTGTAATGCAGGCATGGGCAAACTTTGGCCCTCCTGGTGTTTTGGACCTCAACCGCCACAATTCCGAACAGCCTGCTGGCTGTTAGGAATTGTGGGAGTTGAAGCCCAAAACACCTGGGAGGTCGATGTTTGCCTATGCCTGGTGTATGGTTTGAGTGGTGGTCTAAGGACTCTAGGAAACCAGGATTCAAATCCTTCCTGGCTATGGAAACCCAGTGGGTGATCTTTGGCAAATTATACTCCCTGCCTCAGGCAGGCAATGGCAACCTACCTCTGAACAATCTTGTCAAGAAACACTCTTAATAGGATCCCCATATGGCCACTGTAATTCCAAAATGATTTTGAGGACACACAACAAAAGCCCAATAATATGAGGAGGGCCACACATTGCCCCATCCCTTCAAAGGGGACAATAATTGTGAGCTGTCTTAAGATCTGAATACTGTACAACAGCCTTTGATGAATTAATTTTCACATCACAATCCTTCAAAGCACGCTCCCTGTATGTTTCACAGCAGAGGTCCACAACACGTCAGAAAAGGGGGAAAAAAACAGCTGAACCTTTATTGTTTTCAAAACCAAAGTGAAAACAGAGCTCCGTGTGATGAGTGGGGAGGGGCTTGGGTGTGTATGGAGTCTTGCTTAGAGAGGGGAGGAGGAGAATGGGAAGCTGGATTGGTGGCAAGGAATAGTGCCATGTCTTTCTCCGCACTGGAGGATAGAAGAAGGGTGCATGGGGGGGGAAGGAGGAGGAGAGGGCCGCCGCAGGTTGTGCTGCTCACTCTGCTGCCCTCGGGGCCTCACTGCACTGCCTGCTCATTTGCACTGCTGCTGGAGTCCTGGGGCTTCATCACATCTGGGAGCTCTGGGGGGCTGGAGAAGGGATCGATGCGGAGGGGCTCAAAGGCATCTTCTAGGAGAGAAAGAGAAGAGACAACACGGTCAGTTCCTAGCTGCTGTATAACTGGTTCTTATAAGTCCAAAACCAAAGATTCCACAAATCAAAGTAAGTTCAAGATTAATGCAAGCCCACTGTGATTCTAATTATACTTATATGAATAAATCAATTGGCACATATTTAAAAATAATACAATTTTCTGCCCACATTGTCCTCAAGACTTAACATTATTCAAGAAGATCAAAGGTGGAGAGCCAAACTGAAAAGTTCTTCATCTCGACTTGATATTATCTTCTTCTACAGACTTCTTTTGCTGGGTAACACTGGATCAACACCAGCTAACATCAGCAAGTCCCAGCCTAGCTCAAACTATAGAACTCCCTCTCAAGTGAAATTAGATCAGCCCCATTCCTCCTGGCCTTCAGAAAAAAAGGAAAAACTTGGCTATGGGACCAAGCTTTCAGACAGTAAGCAATACAAGGATTGATCAGGATTATGTGCAATAGATATTGGTACTTGGAATGGCACTGATTGTTGGATTATGTGATTTTAACATTTATATTAATATGTGTTTAACTCCACATTTTAATGTTTAAATGTCATTGTGTTTTTATGATTTAATTGATATTTTATTATTCTTTTGTTAGGTTTTTATGTATGTGAGGCATTGAATTTTGCCAGATATATGTTGGAAACTGCTTTGAGTCTGCCCCTGGGGTGAGAAAAGCAATATATAAGTGAAGTAAGTAAGCAAGTAAGTAAATAAAGTACTCTAGCTAGTGTATCAGGAAAATATTTGACTTCCTTGGAGAATGGCTATGTGCGGCAAAGCCAGTACTCCAACCACATTGGCCACATGTCTTCTCACTCTGCAGAGCAAGCAAGCAAGACATATTCTTAGTAACTGACTGGTGATTCCTCTCCTTGCCAATTTCCAGTTATGATGCTTGGTAGAAAAGCTTTGTGAAACATGCAAGTAACCTATCTGGGCTGAATAAGGCTCTCAAGCCAGAGACTGCTGGATCCTGACATCAGACAGTTGGATGCAGGTAAAATTATTAGAGCATCCCTTTGACTATTTTATTTTTATATGTACTGCAGATGCAGCGGAAAAAAGGAAGCAGGTTGTTTCATCACACCAGCTAAGAAACCAGCTTCTTTTGGCTCACTCACTGTCACTTAGTAGCAGCCATTCCATCAAATATCCTGGTTTCCTAGCTGCTTGTTTAACAAAAACTCCACTTAGATGTCACCCATCCCTTTCCTCTCTCTGTGACTTGTTTCTTTTTGTGCTGTGCTTTAAATCTCAACCTGTCTGGTTTTATATGAGGCACTGGGAATTTTACCAATGAAAAGCAGGGTCTTTCTTCCTAAGCTCTTCCATTGTCAGAACTCCTCCTGTCCTTTCAAGTGCAACCGAGGAATGAACATAGAGAAGGCCCTCTTCAGCGGAGGCACCCCAGTGATGGACTCTTGAAAGATAGGCCATACTTCTGTGAAAGCACTATTTTCTGTCACATGATACCACTTACCACTGGCTCTGAAGGCCAAGCCAACTGTCGCGGGGGCCTGGGGTCGCGCTGTCTGACTGGTGAAGCCGCAATCTCCGAGAGTTTTGCTGTCATCCAATAGCTGGTCCTCCTGGACGATGAGGTCATTTGCAAAGAGAAGAAAAAAGAACTCTTAGCAACACATATAGATTTCACTGAAGTAAAGGTTTCTCTTAACATTAAGCCTAGTTGTGTCTGACTGGGTGTGGTGCTCATCTCCATTTCTAAGCCAAAGAGCCGGCATTGTCCGGCATTGCATGTTTTCAAACTGCTAGGCTGGCAGAAGGTGGGACTAACAGCAGGAGCTCACCCCACTCCCTGGATTCAAACCGCCAATCTTTCGGTCAGCAAGTTCAGCAGCTCAGCAGTTAAACCTGCTGCGCTACCAGAGGGCTCCCATATCTCACTAAACTGGTCATCAAACATAAGTTACTCCTGGGATGCACTGGTCAGAAACAACACACACACACACAAAGCCATCAGGATTCGGTTGCATCTGTTTGTGTGTGTAGCAAGGAAGTAGAATAGAGGAATGAAGAATACAGGGCAGAAGAAGGCTCTGAGGCTAGCAAAGGTAATTCGTGATTGACTGCTTGGCAGACCAGAATATGTTGCATTGAATATATAGTCACCATGTTTGGTGATCCAATACATTATGCTCTTGAAGGATGGTAGGGCAAGGGAAAGTAAGGTTGCTTACCTGTAACCATGTTTCTTCTAGTGGTTAACTGTGAAATTCACACCTGTGGTATTTCCCTGCGTCCACGCAGCTGACTCGGATCTTTCTTGAAAGCTTTTCCTAATTAGGGACTCCAGCCCCGCCCATCTACTCCTAATAAAGCCAGGCAGCGGGGCTTGGAGCCTTAATTCCGTACCGCGAAAGACAGTCGGAGATAAAAGGCATGACAGAATGTGGGGAGGATGGGCGGGTTGTGTGAATTTCACAGTTAACCACTAGAAGAAACATGGTTACAGGTAAGCAACCTTACTTTCTTCTGCGTGGTACTGTGAAATCCACACCTGTGGTAGACTAGCGAGCAGTCCCACGGATGGTGGGTGTCATGCTAGTGCAGAAAAAAGTACTGCTCTCCCAAAAGCCGTCTCCTTCTTGGCAGCTAAATCCAATTTATAATGGGAGACAAAAGTATGCGGTGTTGACCATATGGCCACCCAACAGATATCATTCAGAGGCACACCGTGCAAAAAAGCCATGGAGGCTGCCAATGCTCTAGTGGAATGAGCATGGATCTGAACAGGTAAGTCCAGTCCTGCCATTTCATAAGCTAGCCGGATAGCTGCAACTATCCAGGCCGCCACCTCTGGGTAGAAACAGGAAGGCCCACAGTATCCCTACGGTACTTAACAAAAAGTCGTAGTGAGTTCCGTAATGGAGCTGTGCGGTGGACATAAAAAGCAAGAGCCCTCCGCACATCAAGAAGGTGCAAAGACTGCTCCAGGGGAGTAGAAGGATTTGGAAATAAGGTTGGAAGGACAATGTCCTGAGACATATGAAACTATGATGCTGCCTTAGGTAAGAAGGGAATGTCTGTGCCCAGCATGACCTTATCCTTATGAAATTTCACGTAAGGACTATCGACTCAAGAGCCATAAGCTCGCTAGCGCAACGAGCAAAAGTAATAGGCACTAAAAATGCTGTTTTCCATGATAGATGGAACATGTCAGAAGTGGCCATTGGCTCAAATGGTGGTTTCATAAGGGCGGAAAGAACAACCTCCAACCTCCAAGAGGGGGGCACAGGCCTACTTGGGGCCAGAAATTTCTAAAGCCTTGCAGAAATCTCTTTACAAGAGGATCGGATAAAGGAGAGGGAAGAGAATGCTCGCTTCTAAACGAATCTATATTTGCCAGATTGACCTTCAAGAATGATAATGAGAGTCCTGAATCTGACAGAGAAATCAAAAAAATCCAGGAGGAGGGAAGTGGAAGCAGACAGAGGCTGAACTCCTTGCTTTTGTGAAAAAATGCAAAAATGACACCACTTACAAATGTAAGAATGTTTAGTGGCAGGTCTCAGGGCAAGGTCCAAACTGCCCTTTACTGGTTGAGAGAGGGCTGAGGCTGGATCTGCCACGCCGTCAACCGGAACTGAGTGACTTGGGAGTACGGGACTGGGCTGTTGCCCATAGTCAGCAAGTCTGGTCTGAGTGGCAACTGAATGTAACAGCTGCCTGCAAGTTGGAGCAGAGTGACAAACCATGGCTGGCGGGGCCACCATGGTGTGATGAGAATGCAATCTACCTGCTCTGCTTGAAGACGAGAGACCACTCTGGACAGCAGTGGCAGTAGTGGAAAGATGTACAGGAGGGTGGATGTCCAATCCAGGAGGAAGGTATCTCCCAACAGCCTGTCTGGTGGAGGTAAGACGTGCTCCAAAGAACTGGCACTTCATGTTGGCGGGAGAGGCAAACAAGTCCAGAAGGGGAGTTTGCCATCTGACAAAGAGTTCCCATGCCTGGGAAGGATGAAGGGACCATTAGTGGTCAGTATAAACTGTCTGACTGAGGGAGCCAGCAAGAGAGTTCTTGATGAATGGCACTGATGGTTATGGTATACCAGTCCCAGATTCTGATGATGAGGGCAAGCAAATCACAATCGTGGTGGTGGTGGTAAGCTGGACAATACTGTCCATGAGCAAATGACAGATAAGGTGCAGTGCCATTTCTACTGCGAGTAACTCCAAATAGTTGATGTGCTCTATGCCCTCTATGGCCGCCCAAGGACCATGGATGGTGTGACCCTTGAGGTGAGCTCACCACACTGAGAGGGAAGTGTCTGTTGCTAACATCGCCCACACAGAGATTGGAGCGATGAGTCCACTAGTTGAGAGACCTGTGGATGGCTAAAGGGACAATGAGACATTCATTGGGCTCATCCTGCATGGGATGAAGTGCCCGAAGAAACCAATTCTGGAGAGGCCGAAGGTGCAAACAGGAGAAAGGAGTGGCAGCTGTGGTGAATGCCATGTGTCCCAAAAGGCACTGGACATCCCTGGCATGGATGTATGGCTTCTGCCAGACTCAAAGAGCTAATGAATGCAGATTCAGAAACCTGTCTTCTAGCAAGTAGGCCCTTGCATGCCAAGAGTCCAATACAGGCCCAATGAATTGGTTGTTTGGATAGGCTGAAGAAGAGATTTTACCTTGTTGATAAAAAGACCAAGCTTCTGCTATAAAGACAGAGTAAAGTGAATGTTCCTCTGTAGATACTCACAGGACTGTGCACCAACAACCAGCCATCAATATAGGGGTAAACTACTACCCCGGATAAAGGAGAGGGAAGAGAATGCTCACTTCTAAACGAATCTATATTTGCCAGATTGACCTTCAAGAATGTTAATGAGAGTCCTGAATCTGACAGAAAAATCAAAAAATCCAGGAGGAGGGAAGTGGAAGCAGACAGAGGCTGAACTCCTTGCTTTTGTGAAAAAATGCAAAAATGACACCACTTATAAATGTAAGAATGTTTAGTGGCAGGTCTCAGGGCAAGGTCCAAACTGCTCTTTACTGGTTGAGAGAGGGCTGAGGCTGGATCTGCCACGCCGTCAACCGGAACTGAGTGACCTGGGAGTACGGGACTGGGCTGTTGCCCATAGTCAGCAAGTCTGGTCTGAGTGGCAACTGAATGTAACAGCTGCCTGCAAGTTGGAGCAGAGTGACAAACCATGGCTGGCGGGGCCACCATGGTGTGATGAGAATGCAATCTACCTGCTCTGCTTGAAGACGAGAGACCACTCTGGACAGCAGTGGCAGTAGTGGAAAGATGTACAGGAGGGCGGATGTCCAATCCAGGAGGAAGGCATCTCCCAACAGCCTGTCTGGTGGAGGTAAGACGTGCTCCAAAGAACTGGCACTTCATGTTGGCGGGAGAGGCAAACAAGTCCAGAAGGGGAGTTTGCCATCTGACAAAGAGTTCCCATCCCTGGGAAGGATGAAGGGACCATTAGTGGTCATTATAAACTGTCTGACTGAGGGAGCCAGCAAGAGAGTTCTTGATGAATGGCACTGATGGTTATGGTATACCAGTCCCAGATTCTGATGAGGGCAAGCAAATCACAATTGTGGTGGTGGTGGTAAGCTGGACAATACTGTCCATGAGCAAATGACAGATAAGGTGCAGTGCCATTTCTACTGCAAGTAACTCCAAATAGTTGATGTGCTCTATGCCCTCTAGGGCCGCCCAAGGACCATGGATGGTGTGACCCTTGAGGCGAGCTCACCACTCTGAGAGGGAAGTGTCTGTTGCTAACATCGCCCACACAGAGATTGGAGCGATGAGTCCACTAGTTGATAGACCGGTGGATGGCTAAAGGGACATTGAGACATTCATTGGGCTCATCCTGCATGGGATGAAGTGCCCGAAGAAACCAATTCTGGAGAGGCCGAAGGTGCAAACAGGAGAAAGGAGTGGCAGCTGTGGTGAATGCCATGTGTCCCAAAAGGCACTGGACATCCCTGGCATGGATGTATGGCTTCTTCCAGACTCAAAGAGCTAATGAATGCAGAGTCAGAAACCTGTCTGAAGGCCCTTGCATGCCAAGAGTCCAATACAGGCCCAATGAATTGGTTGTTTGGATAGGCTGAAGAAGAGATTTTACCTTGTTGATAAAAAGACCAAGCTCCTGCTATAAAGACAGAGTAAAGTGAATGTTCCTCTGTAGATACTCACAGAACTGTGCACCAACAACCAGCCATCAATATAGGGGCAAACTACCACCCCGTGCACCCAGGGATGAGCCGGCATACAGCCATCTCCTTAGTAACACCTGTGGAGCTGTGGAGATACCATAATGAAGAACTTGAAATGAAAAGGCCTGACTGCTAGTAAAAAGTGACAAAAATCTACTGTCTTGTGGTCTAATCACCACATGAAAATAGGCATCCTTCAAATCAATGCTACTGAACCATGTCTTGCTGGATAACAGAGGGAGGATGGTTGGTAATGACAACATCTGAAATTTGCAATATGCAATATATGCATAAAGTCCTCTAAGGTCCAAAACTGGCCAAAGCCCACTGCCTTTCTTGGAAACCAAAAAGTATTTGGGGAAAAGGGAAAAGAAGGAAACATAGAAAGATGTAAAGAAGCTACTGCTCCTTTTGAAACAAAGTAATTACCTCCTACTATAACACAGGAGGAGGAGTGGCCCGTAGAGTCCCTACTGGGGACAGTTTGAGAAATTAAATTGCATAAACATGCTCTGTAATCACCAACACCCATGAGTGAGAAGTGATCTAATGCCATGCATCTAAAAATGATGAGGTGGAGCGCCAAAAACTGGAGCTGAAGGGTTGGAGGCTATTAAAGAAGAGAAAATGCATGCTAAAAACACTGTTGGCCCTGATCTTCTTCTTTCCCTTTAGTTTGTTGTCACCCCTGGTGGAAAAATTAAGTCTCCCAGCTACAGAGGCCCTAGAGTTCTGGCCCTGCTGAGGACTGAAGGAAGCAGGTCATGAAGGTTGATGATAATTAAGCTGAGGGGCTGGCCACCACAATCTAGGCTAGATTGTGGTAAAAAGCCAAACTTAGAAGCAGCCTGTCAAATCTTGTGCGTACTTTTGAAATGAGGGTCTGTATCAGGATGAAACAGACTATGTTCTGCCATGGGCAGTTATTCTGCCATTGCTCTGCCTTCTTTGGAGAGGGTAGAGGATCTCAGCCAACCATGCTGGTGGATGGCTGCTGCAACAGCAGCAAACACCTTTAGTACTGTATCGGTGCTGTGCTTAGCCATAGCTTTCTGATGAGAAGCTAAGGTGAGAGCTTACTGACAGAAAGCCCTTAGGATCTGTTGATGTTGTAGGGGAAGGAGATCCAAATAAAGTGCTGAGCTATGCCACAAGAGCACCTGATAGGCTGCCATACAAGCATGGTAATGAATCATGCAAGTGAGTAGGCTAGCAGTGGGGTGGATCTTCTTATCACAGTGGACTGACTTGAGGTGCCTTCGCTTTCTTGGATTAAACAACTTTGACCACAATAAAGTTCAGTTTAGTAGGCTTAACTAACCACTCTGTTGAAGAGGTGCCTATGCTGTAAAGTGCATTTACAAACTTAGAAATTCCAGCACAGATACAGGAGTTGCCTTTTGTTTTTCTCCAAGCTTAAGCAAGTATGGAAGTGCTGGGAGAACTGGGAGAACTGTACTTGGAGCTTGTTTCTGCTGTTGCTCAACTGAGAAAAGCAGATCCTCTAAGCAATCAAGGAGGAAAAATTAGGTAACACATCCCTTATGGAAGCTGGGATGGAAAAGTCCTCCTCAAGAGTAGGAGAAATCTGCTACTCATAGGAGTCAGAATCTACATCAGACTCATTGACTGGTTGCAGCTGAAAGGAAGCACCAGAATGAGCTTAGGAAAAAGTCTTATTAAACTCCTGAAAACCAAAAGAAGGGACTCCAAATCCTTGAGAAGGAAAGGAGGGTGCAGTTTGTGCCTATTCAAAATAGTAGCAACCTACCTGTTGAGGCATGGACCAAGTGGCAGATGGGGCCCAAAAGAGACAGTACTTACATTCTGAGCCGTCACTGAAGCTCCCAGGCGGCATGATGCAGAGGGAGGATGGTAGCCCGAA